TTCTAAATTTTACATTAGTGGGGTTTGTGAATTTCAAATAGAATAGAGCACTTTCATGTACTATGAAGTTTAAAAACTCATTTACTTCCATGGTCTTGAAAGGGAAAATCCCAGTGCCTATAAAACACGACCTTCATTACATCATTTTAAATACACAGATGTACATGTTAATAACATGAATACCACTTCATGTCAATGAAATGTATTAGATTAGACGCCCCTTACATAATACATGCTGAAAACGCCCCGAAGGGGACAATACATAAATAAATACAGACAGAAACAACTGCCACAGTCTTACTCGTTTTACTTCAATAAACGATGGTGACACACGCAGCTTTCAATGTGCTGTTTGACACACATGCTTTCCACACTTAAATGATGCAAATATAAACGACTTCTTGCCAACCATTAGGAAAGATTGACAAAAAAATGCAGTGTTAATGACATCTTACAGCTTTTAGAAGCAAGAGAAAGATGCAAGAAAAGCAAAAATTACATAGTAATTGGAAACAACGAATAAATTGTTCTTTCAATCTAAGTCATGTTTACTGAAAAAAATGGAGCTCTTTACATCAACACATTTAAACAGAAATTTGCTTTTGAAATACAATCTTTGTTTAAAAGGTACAGAAGGTCTTTATGTCCACCCCAAGAGCTAAATACGGAGAATGTTATGTGAACAATTACCTGAAAGGAAAAAAAAGAAACCACCTAAACCTGTTAAAAGAATTAATTTACTGCACACCAGTCAGCACTAATCCTTCCACGTACAGTAATGTTCGCTTAAGTGATGGAGGAAAGAAAGAATAAAACTGTTCTCCCGGATCAAAACCTTCAATGTGCCCCATCAGAATGGAAGGGCGATTTGGTCTGTAAGTGAATAAAGTAGTGAAATGTCTCCTAAATAAATCCTGATACAGGAGGCGGCCCGTACAGGGCTCCATGCTGCCGTACGCTGGGACTGGAAAAAAGCCGTCACTGGAATGGCTGCACAGAAACCATGTCCTGCTGTTGGGTTTACAGCCACAGGAGAAAAGGTTTTAGAGGTTAAGTTCAGGTCAGACAACAGATGAAATTGTAACAAGCTGGCTGACATTGTATAACGTCTTCTTCCACTCAATCAATAGGCTACTGTTCCTCCTATTACCATAGAGATGGCTTCTCTTTCTGAAGGGTGTCTATTGTTTGACAAAACAGATTTGCCACTTGAACTAGGTTGTTCCCAAAGGACGTGTACCTTGTCAGTGATTTGTATTCAAAATAATGAAGCATTTTCATAGGAAAATGTAGGTAAGAGATAATATTGTAAGAGCCCATTTTTGAGAGAAAGCAACTTTTCCTAAAGTACTGTATTACTAAGTCACTCAAGTACAGTTTAGTTATATTAGCAGTTCTGATTTAAAGCACGTGCCAGCAAGGAAAAACACATTTCGCCAACACTCTCTATTAAAAGAAAAGGGTCCTGGGCTAGTGTGCTCATCTAAAGCCCACATATTCGAGCCCAATGACTGAGCAGGATTATTTTCTAATGTGGACAACTCAAAGAAAGTTATCATCCAAAACCATCTGGATCCTGAAAAGATTTTTACAGTCAATCTCCTGTGGAATGGCATCAGCCATATATTAAAGAAAACATGAAAAGTTTTAGGAATAAACCACTTTCTTTTTTTTCTGAAGAGCTATCCGTATCTGTTTAACATTTAAATTACATACAAGTTATGTACATGATCTTCTAAAGTAGAAAAGAACTATCAAAATAAGTATTGGTTTTCTTTAAGTGTCTGTCTTAAAATGTCTTATGAAAATTAGTAACTTTCAAATTCAAGACAGAACAGTTAAGTTTCAAATTTCAAACTAGATACTAAAAAATGAAAAGACGATTATTCTCTTTAGGGAAAAATTGACAGGTTCTTAGTTATAAAAGACTCAGAAGAAATAATCCTAACGAGGACTAGTCTAGTAATTTAGAAAAAGCATTCACAACACACATCAAGGCAAGCAGAGGTGGTGTTTTAAACATCTCATATTTAAAGGCTTGACTATCACTGAAAACATGTAAGAATAAGTAGAAATAAATAATACAGACAAAAATTTATCAAATGATCAACAATTATATTTATAATTTATTTGTATAAATTTATGTTAACTTTAACCTTTCTATAAATAATTGAAAGGGAATTTAAAAAGAACTTAGCTAAAGGGCAGCATTATGACTTTAGTATACAAGGCTCTGAAAATATTTGAAATTAAACTACATTTACATACAAATTCTTTGTTTTTATAATAAGACTTATTCAAGTTTCTGGAAGAAGAATTTTAACCTGGTGTTTGTCATTTACAGGAAGTACAATTTGTATTTTTGCCACCATCTTCTTAGGAAAAGGTTAGCCTGAGTTCAGAGTGAAGGAGACAGAAACACCCAAGACAAATGAATTTAGCAATATCCTAAACTAATGACCAGTTTTTTAAAAGGTAGCCTCCTAAACCGAAAAAGCTTCCATCAGGGAAGTCAGTGGGCTCTAATCTCCCAGCCTCCCCTACAGCTATAATGGAACAAAGTGAAGCCTTATTAAAACCACATCGCAAATGTGATTTCCTTAGTTAATGCTCTCATTTCTAAAAGTATGAAACATGTTCATATTTAGAATACAGTATAATTAGATCTTAGCAGCTGCCCATCAGCAATCCTGTGAGTAATTAAATGATATTTACCATTTACCAAAAGGTGAACTAGACATTGTTGAGCTAAACTGGCCCATCTGCATCTTCATAAAATGACAAACCTCATTAGTTCTGCCTACCCAGCGAATTGGGATAATGAACTGGTGACACCTTCACTCCGTTGTAGGAAGCAGACCCAACAGTGTAATCGTTTGAAGGGGTAAATGCACATGGAATTACTGTAAATTAAGGAGGTGACATCGCATCAACGATGGATGGAAGCAAAAAAAGCAACAAAAGGTTTCCGTCATGGACGTGCTGGATCACAGGAGATGTACGTCTCTGGTTGTTCAACACTGATTTTAACTCATCAACTACTTTACCTGAAAACGGTGTCAAAAAGCAAGGACGCAGCGACCGCTCCAAATAAGCCGCAGAGAAGGTTGACCCGGTAGGCGACAGAGCCAAAAGGGCAGAGCGTGATTGCCAGTTTAGATGCCAGCGTGAAGAGAGGGTAGCCAGGAGGGTGGGCAACCTGCGGACATGAGCCACAGTGAGAAGGGTTTTCAGGCAGGCTGGGAGCAGCCGCCTTCCCGGGCAGGGGTGCGGCGCAGGCCCCCATGGCTACGCGTCTGCATGGTGGTTCTTCTATTGTAATCCTCTTGTGCCAATACAAATCAATATTTTCTCTCGTGGATTTGGCACCGCCTAGCACACGGTGCGTCAGAGAGAAAGGGTGACATATTTCATTGTCAGTTCCCTTGCAGCCTGTTCTCTGGGTTCACAGTACATTAGGGTCATTTAAAAGGCCACTGGGAAAAAGAGAAAAAGCAGGTTCTGAAAAATCGTATCAGTTAGAAAGTTGAAAGACCACACTGCTATCGGATTACCGCCATGCTGACAGGTCTTGCCTAAAGGGATCATGCACCATAATAAAGTTTATTAAATAATAAACTTATTAAAACTGTTAACCCGATTTATTTTATTCTCCACAGCTTATACAAAATTTGGGGTGGTAATAAGCCAGCTACTGTACATATAGTAAAGGCTTTGCTTTATAATTTAGTTTAATTGGATTTAAAACTTAAAGTAAATTGTCACGTACTGTACTTATAAGTTACTAAAAACTGGGGTTTGAAAATAAATTAATCTACTTTACTCCATGCTTAATTAAACTTTCTTAATTCCTAAAACTGTTAATGAGAGCATTGATTAAACAATAAAACTAATACTTACTCCAAGCTCATGTGCCGCTGTGATCAGTTCCCCTGTGAAAAAATAATGTAAAACCAATAATTACTATTAGAAAATGACACTCCTCCAAAGTTTTCAAAATCCAAATGCTTGCATTGGGGTTTTGCATTAATTTGACCGGATAAAACTGTAAATCTGCAGAGATTTAACAGCATGAAACGGTCCAAGAATATTTTCTCCCTTAGGTCTTACAGAACCAACTGTCTTCAATGGTTTCTAATAACTGGTCAATGGCAATGCAGGTGAATTCTCATTTTTAAAAAGGACTTCTTTTCCCTCCTGATAGTTGTATTCACTTGCAAAGACAGATAACAGAATTCAAAAATGTTATGGGGAGGAATGGAATTAAGAGGTAAGTTTATTTGGGGGCAGAAAAAAAACTGGAAATGAGCGCATCGTGTGTTCACGCTGTGCGTTTCCCAGGAACGTTCGGAAGAGCCCTCGTGCTGTTCTAGGGCATGCGTGTGAAGTGCTGTGTCACAGCTCAGGAACTCAGCACACGTCCGTCTAGAAAGACGCGACCCTCGGGTGACAGGAAGCATGCAGGTCTGAGGCTGGGACGCTCCCAGACAGTAGCCACTACCTACCACCACCATCTGCCACATTCTCTGCAGTCACTAGCTCGGGTATCTTGAAGGCGTTCTCAAGTTGTTTAGTAACTCCAGATTCTTCTGATAAGCTCTATCTATCACAATACATTTTTTCAAATCATTCAATCATATTATTTACGGTCTTTTATGGTTCCTCATCATCTAGTGACTCTTACTAAAATCTGCTGCAAGTAACTCAATGACTATGGGTTAATACTTTAAGTATCCAGAGCACAGGGACTATTTCTGACTGTTCCATGTATACTATAGTATGGCAAAATGTAAGAAATCCATCAATATTGATGATTGTGTCAAAACTGACCACTGGTTGGGCATCCATAACCCAAAACTCTGACATCTGAACTGCTCCAGAGTCGTCACACTCAAGAAGTGCTGGATTCCAGAGCAGTTCAGGTTTGGGGTTTTCAGACTAGGGATGCTCAACAGGTAAAGTCTATGCAAGTACTACAAAACCTAAAACGCTTCTGATTCCCAGCGTTATAGATAACAGACTCCTCTTGTTTTAGCTACTGCATCCTTCAATACATTTCAGTGGGGGCTGGCGCTGTGGCATGGGGGGGGGGGAAAGCTGCCTCCTACAAAGCCAGCATCTGTATGGGCGCTGGTTTGAGCCCCGGCTGTTCCACTGCTAATGGCCCCATCCGGCTCCCTGTTAATGGCCTGGGAAAGCAGCAGCAGATGGCCCAAGTGTTTAGGTACCTACTACTCCCATGAGAGACCCAGAAGAAGCTCCTGGCTTTGGCTGGTTGCAGCCATCTGTGGAGTAAACCAGCAGATGGAAGATCTCTCTGTTTCTCCATCTCTCTAACTCTTCCAACCAACTAAAAATTTTTAAAAATACATTTCAATATTCTTTTAACTTTTACTGCTTTTAAATTTCAAAGTTGCAGATTTAGATCTGTAACTTCTCTGGCATGGACTGCAGCAACAGACTTTGCCAATATTCTATTTCATCTTGATACTGAAATCACTATCACCCCTGCTTTCCCTCTCTCTCCAAGCAAAATGGCTGGATCATATCCCCAGCCTAACATCTCTCAATGCCTGCTCCCTGCTTCTGGAATGAGTTCCGATTCCTCGGTGTGACATTCAAGGCCTCTGTGGCTTCAAGGTCCCTTTGCTAGGCTTAGATCCATGAAACCCAAACCAGGTCTGATTACCCTCCGAGCCTCTGGAGTGCTCCTCTTTTGCTCCTCTTATCACTCACTCTCACCCTGCAGTGTCTTCCCAACATTCTCTACTAAATCCTGCAAGGCCTCTGTCAACTGCCGCCTTCTCAGGGACACATTTCCTAACACATCTCCCTCCCCAGTCCTCTCCATCAGAATCAATCACTTCCTCCTCCACCCAAACTGCTTCGGCCTATTTAACACTTATTCAGATTACTTTGTATTCTGGTTGGTTTGTTTTCCCTCCCACTAAGTTTAAAGACATTGTCCTATCCATTCCAGGATTCTGCCAAGAACCGCCACCTACCCCTCCTCCAGTCAGAGACTGTCATGCAAGGCTGCACAGAGGCTGAGACACATCATCGTCATCCTTGCTATCTAAGGTGAATGGTGTTCGCATCAGGGAACAGCCCCATAAGGGCGCCCAAAGACAACTGCTCAGTCAATTCCTTCAGATACTCAACAGCACCTAAGAAACCAGCCACTGTTCAAATCCTAGGTACTTCTTTTTAAAGCGGTCTTTAGAAAAACTATTCCCTTCCCAACCACTGTGAAGGATATTTTACGGTTTAACTCCACAACGGCATAGCTCTTCTGCCTTCGAACTTTTAATCAGATGTTTGGTTGTTGTTGTTCTTATACCTTTAAAAGCGTGACAAAGCGTGTACCAAGTCCAAATCTCAAGGTCACTATTCATTCTCCTCCACTTAGACTTAGAGCTACACTCAACATAAATAGAAACATCTATTGTCTCCAACTTCCTCTTACATCACAAGGTTACAAAGTGCTGTTCCTGGCTGGAGATAAACCTGGAATGCGACAGACTCCCATCACCTCTTATCAAATGGGAAACGGAAAGGTAATTAGAAAAGATGCCACTCGTTAAAGCCTACAAAGGCACCCTTGATAAAGAGGTAAAGGGAAATGTTAGTCACATCGCACGCGGTAAGCGGTGTACAGTGTCCAAGAAAGCCTCAACCCTCGGGAGCCCTCCCACTCCACACGAGGGCTGCCTCCAAGTCAAGTCCACAGCTACCTGCACCAGCATTCTCTGGGGGACTTTTAAAGATGAAATTCCTGGACCAAACTCCCTAGTGTGGTAAGACTCCTGGCCTGGGAGCCCAGGTTTCCCAGGCAACGCAGGGAGCACAGCTTTGCTGTCCTGGGATGCAAACTGGGAGCCAGCACAGAGCTGCACAGAGCTGTTGGCAGATGCCTAAGCTTTCTCTTTTTTCATGTTAGTTATAATGCTGCATTCTCTTCTATCAAGTCTGTGAAAGGCAGTCTCTAAAATATGCAAACGCACATTAGAGAACTGGTGAAAGCCAGACTTCTACCTCCTTCCCCGCTGGACCACGGGCACTCCGGCCCCTGAAGGAACTGTGTGTGCCAAGTGTGCCAAAGATAATTGTGCAAGTCCACACAGTCTGACGGATTGATAGCATATAACTTAAGCCTTTTCAGGAAGAATAATACATACTTTACGTTGGTTTTGAGATGCAGTCTGTTTATTGAATAAAAAATACACTTCATAAACATTCAAGGAGAGTGATACATTTGATACACAAACAAAATTATCCAAGATGTGACTACACAAGATCTCCATACTAGCACACACTTGGAAAGCAGTTTATTAATCATTCCCCAAAATGAACTAAAAATACTAGAGATAACCACTACTCACCATCACACTAAACAAACTGGAACGCCTAAAAGTTTGGTGACTTATGGCAAATATGTAATTTTATTCCTTTTGGAAAAGATAAAATACAGAATAAAGACAAAGCAACAACCATATATTTTAAGTAGCCTTTAAACATCATTATATACGTGAGGGCAGACGTAACAAAGAATTTCATTCAATTCTTCGACAGAGAGTAGAGGTTCAGACAGCACGTGCTGAAGTCATCCACTCGGCTTTCCTCCGCGACTGTTCCCTAGCTGTGGGACTCTGGACACAGCTTAGCTGTGCTAATACCACCTACCTCAGAAGACAGCCGGGCAGTTACGACAAGCACCCGTACGAAGGAGCTGGAACACAGCCTGGCACACCGAAGTGCCCCATAAATGCTAACTGTTGTCACGCATCCCACCCTCAGACCTCAGGCTGAAAGCCATACTCAGTAGTCTACTCTTTGGGGTTTTAATTTTGTTTTTATGGGCGCCGATTCAAGTCCCAGTTGCTCCACTTTTGATTCAGCTCCCTGCTAGGGCCTGGGAAAGCAGTGGAGGATGGCCCAATCCTTGGGCCCCTGCACCCACGTGGGAGACCCGGAAGAAGCTCCAGGCTCCTGGCTTCGGATCAGCGCAGCCATTGCAGTCATTTGGAGAGTGAATCAGCTGACAATCTCTCTCTCTCTAACTCTGTCTTTCAAATAAAAAAATCTTTAAAAAAAAAGGGAGGGGGGATCAAAGAGCTACCTGCCTCTGGAACATGTTCTCCTATCTCAAAACTCTCATGATGACAAAATTATTCCTATTACTTAATGTAAGTCTTGAACATACAGTAACTCCATCCCCTACTACACCAATGAAACACTAACCCTACCTGTTCAGTGGAACCTGAAAGGGAGGCAGGGACTTGAAAATGGAACATCAAGGGGGGGCCGGCACCGTGGCTCACTAGGTTAATCCTCCACCAATGGCGCCAGCATCCCATATGGGTGCCGGGTTCTAGTCCTGGTTGCTCCTCTTCCAGTCCAGCTCTCTGCTGTGGCTCAGGAAGGCAGAGGAGGATGGCCCAAGTGCTTGGGTCCCTGCACTCGCATGGGAGACCAGGAGAAGCACCTGGCTCTTGGCTTTGGATCTGCGTAGCTCCGGCCCTAGCGGCCATTTGAGGAGTGAACCAACGGAGGGAAGACCTTTCTCTCTATTTAACTCTGTCAAATAAAAATAAAATAAAATAAAAAAAGAAAGAAAATGGAACATCAAGGATCCTCAGCACGGCGGGCGGCTTGGAAGATGCCCCGAGCAAGCCTCTCCTGCCTGCACGAATGGAACAGGCCGGGGGCGTACCTAGTGACGGAGGTGTCAGCCAGCGCGCCCGTCTCCTCTCCTGCACAGAAGTCGGCCGTCTTACAGAGACCCACAGCGCTGCACTGAGCTCAGAAGCAGAGTCTCCCCAAACTTTCAAGGGACCGCAGCTGCAGCCCACACCTGACAGCACCCTTGCTCTGAGTTCCGGGTACCTCCCCCCCCCCCCGGGTTCCTGATCCCCATAAGCCGTGAGATAAGCGTGCGCTGCCTCAGGTGCAGACCTGGGCGTGTGTGGGGCGCGGGCCTGGCGTGCGGCGAACGAGACACAGCACACCGAGCACCGAGCGGACCGGAACCTGTGGCCGTTATCCGGTGGTCACTAGACAGCAAAGCAAAACCAGATCCTAGGTTTTGTTTCTCGCCTCGAATCCAGCATTATGATGCACGTGGTCTGCATGGCCCACCAGCCACTCTTTTAACAGAAACGGCTTGCTTTAAGCCCATTATTTCCTGCAAGGCAGGTCTCCTTCTCTATTTTCAGGTTTCCACGAAAACACCACCTGCTCACGGGCCTGCGCAGAGCAGAGACTCTGAGGGGCCCCTACCCGGGCCGCTCCCAAGCACGGTCCCCTCGGACTGTCTGCAGAGTTCTCCCCATTCAGCACGCGCCCGTTCGTCCATTAACTTGGGATCGTCTCTAACCTCACTACAGCTCGCTCCGTGGCACTGACTTACACCCGTCATCGTCCTGATACACAGGGAAGGACCTGCTAGGGCTCAAGACACAGAAGCAAAGTGCAAACTCCGGGACAGAAACCTGATCTGGGCCAAGTGCCTCGGACTCAAAGCTTGAGCGCTAAGAAGCCGGAGTTAGAGCAACGGGGGCAGGCGCAGCTTCTGGAGCGCAAAACCCCGCGCCGCGCACAAAGGGGGCGACGGAGGGCCCGAGCCGACCACACCTAAGGCCAAGCCAGGGGGGGCGCGGGGCGACAGAGACGACCCTGCGAGTACTTTACCCGAGTCTCCCCCCGGCACCGAGGGCGGCAGCGTGCGGGCGAACAGGGCGGCCACCGCGGCGAACACGGCGACGCCGCCGCCGAGGCCCCCGGAGCGCCGCGGCCCCGTTCGGGCTGCCTGCCCCTGGGCCCGGCCCCCGCCGTCGCCGTGCAGACCCATGGGCAGGTGGCGAGCGAGGAAGGAGAACACGGCGGGCCCGGGGACGCGGGGCGGCGGCACTGACATCCCCCGCCGAGAGGCAAGCTCGAGCCGCGCGGCGGCCGCGGCGGCTTCCGGGTCGAACCTTCACAGGCCGGACCGCACCTTCCTCCGCTCGAGCATGGGAGGAGAAGATGCCGGGCCTCGAGGGAACCAGGCCCCGCGGCGGCGTCCCGCGCGTGGGTGCGGACGCGCCTCTAAGGCGGTTAAAAGTAACTCATCGGCAAGGCAGCATTCCTCTAAGGAAGTGAGTCTGGCTAGGGCCTACAGTCTCTATGGGTTCCCTACACCCCCGCGTTCACAGTGACTTGGTCGGTTCCGACAGAGACGGGAGTAGCGCCGAAAACCGCGCGAGCAAGGGCTGCTTGCGCCACCTGTGGTGTGGGGTGGAATTGCACGAAAGGACCAAGGTGGCCGGCGACGGTGCATTTACAGTGTGCGCAAATAGGCCAGTAAACTCATTCATCGATTTGTCACCAGGGACCACATCAACACGAGTAATTATAAGTCTGCGTGCTAATTATGAAGTCGCTACGTACCTTTCAGAGAGATTAAAATATATTTTTCCTTTCTAGCCTAAGGACAAGGTGGATCAGTTAGAGACGTTGAGTTTCTGTGTTCATAGACCTGGGCTGATTGACAGCCACTGTGCCCGCCTACTTTAGTCTTTTGCGGGGGCAGTTGGCCCTCTGTGTCTGCAGGTTTTCCGTCTGCAGGTTGCAGATATTGGAGAGGGAAATGCATTTGTACCAAACACTTACAGAGCTTCCTTCTTGTGGTTATTCTCCAAGTTTGACAGCATAGCATTCTAGCGACAGGGCATCTACATCGTGTTAGGTATTGTGAATAAGCTAGCGGTGATTTAGAGTATATGGGAGAATGCGCATAGACGACATGCAAACACCAGACCATCTTATACTCGTATAAAGGACTTGAGCATCAGCAGATTTGAGTCTCCAAGGGGGGTCCTGGAAGCAATCCCCCATGGATACAGGGGGACAGGTGTGTTTATGCGATGCTTTGTCACCTCTGCTGTGTTCATGGAGGGCTGGCGCGGAGTGGAAATTCGCTTCTGCGTCTACAACCGTTCCCAGTGATGCCCCACTCCTGGTATTCTCCCCCTTGTGTGTGGGCCGGCCCCAGTGACTCCCTTCCTTCTGTAGAATAAGGCCCCAGTGATGGCGGCCAGCTTTGAGAGCAGGTTGTAAAACACTGACCTCCTTCTTGCTCTTAGTAGGAAAGCGCCTACACGCTGTGTGCAGGGTCCACACAGCAGCTCCAGCCTCCAGCCTCCAGCGGCGCAGGCCAGCAACCTTTGGGGAGCTCCATCCAGCCAACACCATATGACAAAGTTGGAAATGGGGACTGCCCCCAGCTCAGCCATGAGATGACTGTCACTCCCATCAGGACCTCCGCTGCAGCCTGTGGGGGATCCTGAACCAAAGAACCCGAGGACCCGATGCAAGGCCATCCACACTGTTGTCCTATGGAAACTGAGATGGTAAATCTTGTTTTATAGCACCAAGTCCAGGGTCATGTGTAACTTGGCAGTAGATAAAGGCAGGCTGTCTTCCATGTCTCCTGAAAGGGCAGCCCAATAAGCAGTACTGGCTGAGCCAGGCTTTGACTTCTGTCCCTTTTCATGCATTTCATCTTTTGTTTATGAGCTTGGCAAACATAAACTTTTATCTCAGAAGGGACGGATGCTTTGCCCCTGTTTGGCAAGTACAGCTCAGTGCTAAAAGTACCAGTGTAGGTGTTGGTCACGTACGGATGGGAAGAATGGCTAAGTTGGCCAAGCCCTACTGTAGAGAGAGCGAGTGGAGGTCCAGCGTTAGCCCATTTCTTCATTTAGGGAACGGCAGGAGAAGGAGAGCAAACAGCAGGAGGAGATGAGGGGTCACAGAAGCTAAGGAAGGAGTAACATCAATGAGGCACAGGCGGTCAGGGTGTCGCAGAGAGGTGGACACTGGGGAGGGGTACAGCTGGCCCTCCAATGCGTACACCTGGGAGAGCTGTCTCTAAGCAAACACACAACTGCATATGCAAAGCTGGGGACTGGCCCAGCAAGGGGGTTGTGCTAGAGAGGCGCTCTCACAGGAAGTCCCTCCCCTTCGACAGCTCTGCCTCTGCCTCCCAGGGGCCATCGGGCTATCGCCGCCTCCCTGAAGCCCCAGCACCAGCCCCTTCCAAAGGCTTCCCTTTTGCCACAGGGCTCTCCACCCTGCTGTGCTTCTGCCAGAGTCCCAAGTGGTGGCGTGTACTGGGGCTGCTGTCCACTTCCCTGTCTCTCTGCCTTTCTTCCCGAGATGAACGTTTTAAATAGTAGCCACGGAGTGCCACATCTCAGAATTATGCCTCCTAACCTTGTCTTTAAACTATAGAAGTAGTTTATTTTTTTTAAGCCCCATCTCACTCTGACTTCTCCATTTCTATATCCTAGCAGCTTTTTAAACCTAGGGGACGTTGTCTTATTTGCATTGCATCTAAACAGTGATTAACAAAATATTTGTGTAATGCATGAATGGGTGAGCAAGGAGAGATCATTCTGTATCCATTAGGGACTGCATTAGGATCCTGCTAACAGAGACCCTGCTACAGCGGCATAAACATTCAAGCTTTCAGTCTCTCCCCGTAAAAGTGGCGGAAGTCTGGTGGAAGTCGGTCTAACACCGGTTGGGCAACTCCCTGATGTCACTGAGGATGAAACTGCACCATCCCAGTCAGCTCACAGCCTCAAGGCCATCTCCTGGCACAAGATGGCCGCTAAGGCCCCAAGCGTGTCCTCCACACTCAAGGAAGAAAGGGACAAGAAGGGGGAGGGGGAGGGAAGTGCTCTGGAAATGCCATTCCACAGTTCTGCAGGTGTTAGGGGCAAAGGAGGCTGGGAAATGCACCTTTATACCTGGACAGCTTGTCCAGGGTTTCAATACAAAGGAAGAAGGGGAAGATGGACATTGGAAGGCACCTGGCCTGTCCTGCGTAATTGCATTTGGTGATCTGGAGAGATGTGAACCCTGACAATCCCAGAGGTCAGTTTCAGTAGAGGAATAGATAAGAAAATCGGGACCAGGTGCTTAGGAAATGAAGGAGTAAAAATAGAATGCTGGGGCAGGCATTTGGCACAGAAGTGAAGTCACCTCTGGGGACACCCATTCCTAAGTCAGAGTCCTGGGTTTGAGTCTCACTCCACTTCCAATTCCAGCTTCCTGCTAATGCACACCCCGAGAGGTCACAGGTAATGGCTCAAGTACTTGGGTCCCTGCCACCCATGTGGGAGACCTGGATTGGGTTCCAGGCTCCTGTCTTGGGTCTGTCCCAGCCCTGGCTATTGTGGGCATTTGGGGAGTTAATCATCAGATGGAAGATCTCTCTCTCTCTCTCTCCCTCTCCCTCTCATTCCCTCCCCCCTTTCAAAAAATAAAAACAAATAAGTAAAAAATAATAGAATGCATTTGTAAGTAGTTTGGCAGCGAAGTAGTATGAGAATCACAGAGACTGAAGTACCAAATGAGGTTTGTGGTTTTTCCTCTTTAGAATCCAAGAAAGTATTGAGAGAGAGAGAGAAAGAAAGAGAGAGAGAGAGAGAGAGAGAGAGAGAGAGAGAGAGAGATACAGGAGACTGGTGGAAGCAAGGCCGAGGAGGACAGAAAACAGAAAATATTAGAGACAGAGAGAGCAAAGCCTGTAGGTAACAACTGATGGCTGGACTGGATCCTGGGACAGACCAATAAGATACACAAAGAGTACTTACTCACTGTTGATGCTCTACTTCATTCCATGCTAGCGTAGAGACAGTTACTACAGCATGAACTTTAAAGTAGAAAAATATCTGGGGCCGGCGCTGTGGCGTAGCAGGTAGGGCCACTGCCGGCAGTGTCGGCATCCCATATGGGCGCAGGTTCGAGTCCTGGCTGCTCTATTTCTGGTCTGGCTCTCTGCTATGGCCTGGGAAGGCAGTGGAAGATGGCCCAAGTGCTTGGGCCCCTGCACCCACATGGGAGACCAGGAAGAAGCTCCTGGCTCTTGGCTTCAGATTGGCACAGCTCTGGCTGTTGCAGCCACCTGGGGAGTGAACCAGCAGACCTCTCTCTCTCTCTCTCTCTCTGCTTCTCCTTCTTTCTCTGTGTAACTCTTTCCAATAAATGAATAAATCTTTAAAAAATAAAGTAGCGAAATATCTACATCACGCAGGTTCACCTGTGTCACACAATACTGGGAGATATGTACTATGTGATTAAGTGCAAGGTTGTGATTGCAGACAGCGATGCCAGTGTCCCTGCAGTGTGGTTCATAACAGCCCCCAAACAGGAACAGCCCCAAATGTTCATCCGTGATCAGATGGAGAAATAAATCCTCATACAGCCATTCAATGAAATAATATGCAATGAAGAGAATGAACTCACCGTAGCTCCTAAAGCAATACACATGGCTCTCATGAACATGATACTGTCCACAGAGTGCATACAGAGCAACACCAGTTATTTAAAGCAAAGATGGTGAAATGAAATTGTATTGTTGAGCAATAGACCCACAAGGTTTTAAATTGCAAAGAAAATACAAAACTCTTGGTCACAGCTGTGGGGGCGATGGAAGCTCTCTGCAGGGCAAGCAGGGGCCGGGGTTGGAAGGGCACACGTGGTGAGTTCCTGGCCTTCACCCAGCTGGTGGCTACCTGGGGGAAGCCTTCAGAATCGTGTTTTACACTGTTAATAGCGCTTTATGCACTCTGCAAGCTAGATGGTGTATCTCAAAACTTCAAAAGTAGGCAGGCAGGCAGATTCTGGAAAAATCTACTGGACAGTTTTGTAATGAATATTAAAATACTACCCTGAGTTGACATAAGTTATACATATTTTAATGCATGTGTAATATAAATGACTATATGGAAATATTTTACACACAAGGAAAGAACATGGCTGCATGGAAGCAAATTGGCCTCCAGAATCCCCTGAGATACTAATGGAATAGAGAAAATTTCCTGAAATGAATTTACTTTTTGCACATAAACTTTACATCCTACAGGAAGACTCTTGATAAAAAAATAAGACAATACATGGGACAAATATGTTCTACCTGAGCAAATCAATCCATCCATCCATCAATCACAT